AAACAACGACAGAATAATCACTGTGCGAGATGTAACACGGTACTGTTGTGGCAGTATTAGAATAATAATCCAAAACAATTTAGCGTAGATATAATTAATATCATTCTTGGGCATACATGCGAAAATGTGATGTTGACCTGTCTTGAGTGTAGTCGACGTCGAGAAGTCAGTTCACAAAAGTGAAGGCGATGTTAATTGTGTATCTTTAGGAATTACTCTTAAATGTTTACGTACAAATCCACGATAAGGAGTAGTCTGTAAATTGCAAGTGTACCTGTGGATCCTACCGCGCTGAATATTTTATGTGTGGTTACACTCCAGATTAGGTCAGTTGCTATATTTTTACCCCCTTCAAGTTCACCAGGTTCATATAAATATCTGACAGTAACATTACCTAGGACTGGTTGTTTTGAGACAGTCGTGTCATTGTACTGTTATGTTGTACTGGTATGTTTTTTGGTCATCGCATTCATTGGTTTCATAAAAATTCCACTAGTAATTTCATTATTTAACTCAGCTATCACACTTGCTAGTCTTGGAACCCTTTACGAGATCTCTACTCTTTGTAAACTTTATTCAAGTTATCCTGCGAATAAAGATATCCAAACAAGTGTTCGATTAAATCGTTCAACAATTGCCTGATCACGATGAATTGTAGTTTGTTCTCATCAGATTTAGATGTTATGTTGTTTCATCATAGACGTTACTGCACCAAGAAATTGTTTGTCAGGATCAATCTGTAGCAACTGTGGCAATCCTATACCACCTTGTGGTTCGGGTCCTCGTTGATAAATTCGTTCAAAATCAGATACAACTTCAGTTGCTGTTTTTGTTGATAGTGGTTCTGCTTCTTTATATGTATTTGTAACGTCACAGACAGTCAACACGTATTTGTATTGCGTAATTTGACGTCTTCTAGTTTTAATGGTATCGTGTGGTGAAAATAAAATATCTGCCAGATGAATTTCCTTGCGATAGCTGACATCAAAATGTGCGTACTTAACTTTTTTAGGTAGATAAATTTGCCATGATGCCTGTTGTGCTAACCCATCTGCGGCAACAGAACGTGTGACATTTTCTGCATTAGCAAGTTAACTAATCGCTGCTCTTCTCCTCCAATATCCTCTTGGGCTCTAATAAATCGATTCAATAATAATAATAATAATAATAATAATAATAATAATAATAATAATAATAATAATAATAATTGGCCGACTAATTAGCTGCCCCTGGCAACAATTACCTTTTATTGCAAATCTTACCAGTGAATTAGCAAGCAATTCTTTGATAGATTTATTCTTTTACAAACTTTAACGTGTGTATCAACTTCACATTTGCGAGATGTTGTTGTAAATCCTTAGTTTTTTAAGCGAGAGCATGAGTGTGGCACGCTTGAGCAATCGCAATTATTGGATACTCTTCAGGTCTTGGTTGATCTTTCTCGTCAAATCAGATGTGAAGTCGGATTCCAGGACCACAATAATTATCTCCAGAAATTAAGTTCCCCTACGTATTTAGCCCATGGAGCACCTGATAATTTGCCGAGTGAATCAGCGATGTCTCCGCCTGTCTTCGTACGAGACTAAATAAATTTATAGTTTGGTACCCATTTCATACACTTGCTTGTTATTATACGTTTTTTATTTATTTTTATTGTTAATCCACTGGTGGGTGGATGCCCTGCATTGTATATAAGATAAATTCATATAATTATTATACTTCTACAACATGGATATCATACAGAGTTCTCAGCGACACGAAAGCAGGAGCCAGTCAAGCATTATCCAGCAATACCAAATTCTATCAGAGCAATTATCATAGGTCCAATTGGGTCTGGTAAGATGCAATTGTTGCTTAATCTGACAATGTGATGGCTCAAGTGGCATAAGTTGTATTTAGTGGAACCATCCGTAGATGATCAGAGATGTTACAATTTACTTTAATGAAAATGCACAAAATGCTGCCCAGCCTACTGGTGATGTCCTGCGTTAACTAGCTTTAGCATGTGCAAAAGGGCGGACCCCATCTGGCAAGGAAAATTCTTCTTTGTCAGATTTGCTACTAAAAACTGGATCCTGGTCCCAAGTTATCAGTCACCACGACCTCGAATCTGCTCAAAGCATGCACTGCCTACACAATTTTTGGCGAGATGTGCTCCGCCGCCGTGTTGTCCTCAACATTCTGAAGGTTCTGGCCCAGATCTATGATAATGACCTTTCGGACAAGACGAAATGTATGCGTATAATATAATATATGGCTTGACTAGCATGCGCACCAAAAGCCGCTTAGAGAAGACCTACGAAGATCATGCAGAAGCCAACACATACAGAAACTGCCGACTGTCCATCGTATTGGCTCCCAACCTCTTGTCGCCGAGCAGGTGCGGTGCGAGCTTACCGACGGATACACACCAGTCTCGCCTGAGTGTGTACGGTATGCATGAGCTTCTACACTGGCTGGCCACCACACAAATTACTTTTACATCTGCTCATGAATGCCAAAATGCGCCTTGAAAAATAAAAACAATTTAGATTTACAGTGGGAAGATGTGGACCTCTCGCGTAACGACGCGGTTACCATCATTCGCTGAAAGCACTGGACCAAGAATTTTTTGGATTTCCCATAAACACTCCCCTCCCTATTCTTGAATAGCATCTGACCTGGTATATGGATACATCTCAATCCAAGCTTGATTGAGTGTTATAGAAAAATTTGTGCAGCTTGTGACCTGTGGTTAAAGATCGAATCCTATGTGTTTATTGGAGGGGGTTGGCATTTTTTATATATAAAATTTTTAGGTTCTTTTTTTAATAACACAGTGACAATATTTGAGAAATATACATTCAAGAGACTGAAATGGATTTGCTTTTCTAAAAAGTGATTGATTCTTTTCTTTATTTATGGCGGCGACATCACTGACAATTTATATCACCACCACTACACCGACCATGGACTCAGTGTCAAAGATAGGAACTTGGGGGGGGGTGTTTTTATTTCTATACTAAATATAGCATGTCAACACAATAACTGATCACGTACCAAAGAGTCTTGACCAAACTTGATATAAGGGGCAGTCTCATTTATCTTGGATTAGTTTGATTGTTTGCATAGTTTGACCTTGAGTTTTAGGATTTTCAATTGATTGCTGTTTAATGTTTTGCTTTTTTTTTATTTTGTTTTGTTTATTTTTTTTTTTTCATTTTTATCTCATCTTGTGATTATTTTGTAAGATAAAAGTAGTATATCAAATATGGTAAAAAAAATATTAAAAAGAAAGAAGCATAAACGATTAAAAATAGGATTTTTTCAATGTGTAAATTTAAAAATGAGTCTGACACAATTATTTATGGTTGATATCATTTAACAAAAAATCAAGAGAGCATGTGAAATTTGTCTGCATTCAGAATTAACGAAAACATCAAAACCAATGTCAGGTGTTATTATACTAGTGTAACTGGGGTAACATTCATCCCATCTAGCCAAGGTTCTGATATGTTAACCCTATCTACACCTTGGAGGATCGAGCAGATATTTAACTGCTTTGACCTAACGATATCTGTTGGATTTCATGAGTTGACTACCTGAGTATGTAGTGTTAACTAACCAATAGCGTGTAACTGCCGCGCATTGTATATCGGCCGAAAATGGTGGAGGCTATTGACTTCAGAATGATGCTTTGTAAGTTTAACATCGAAAGTGTGACTACGTGTCAGAAAAAAGCCATTACAGGTGTATTTGAGTGAAAAGCATTGTACAAGCATGGACCTGCAATGGAAGATCGCTTACTTATGAGTCCATTCACGTTGTATGCTCCACTTGTCTCGATCATGTAGGAACAGTGTTCAGATTTTACAAATTTATTTTGATTGGATGCGGTGGCTTGCGCAGTGAAATTCTTAGACCCTAAGCACATAAATATCTGATCGATGCTCAAAGGTATAGATAGGGTTAACATATCGGAACCTTGGCTAACGAAGATGCGTCCAACCATTTGTCTAACGTTTAGCTAAAATGGCATATAAAGACAAACAAACAATTCCAAATAAAATTGGTAATAAACGGTGTCTCTTGGCGAGTTTTATTTCTTGCAACATTTTTGGGGGGTGGGATGGTGTGTTTAAGATCTTTTGGGACAACGAACAGTTTTTCATACACAAATTTAATTACGCATCAACCTACCTAATATAAAATACACAACTGATGTCAAAAAGGTCCATACGAATATTATTCTCATGACCTGAAAATTCAATGGCAGCTCATAATAAGAGACATTTGTGCATCCCGAGCTCATATTTATACTTATATTGTTTCACGATCTTCACATTACACACGGAAGCTCTTTCTCTAAGTGATAATTGTGAACAACGCAGTGAACTAAGCAGCTTGATGCGATTCAATATAGTTGTCGTCATTACAATTTTTATGATATTCTATTTCCTTTCAAACCACAGGTCTACTGCTGCACTCAGGTCACAATTATTACTTCCTGTTCAGTACACACGAATGTAATTCCAATATACTATAGAGCATTTTTTCCTCTTTCATTTTGATGGCGACACAAGAGATACATGTAGGCATTATTTGTGTTTATTTGAAGGTAGTTATTTATTCTGTAGAATATAATCATTAAGGTATAATTGTCTCTGTGTATTTTGGCGATAGCGCACAGCGAGTAATGAAACAATGATGCAGATCTGTAAGTGAAATTTGTGACTCATTGCACGCTGCTTTGTTTACAGTCCAGCATATCAAAAAAAGGTGTGTGTGTGTGTGTGGTGAGAAAGAGTTAGATTTTTAAAGTAGTTTTACAAATGTTCAGTCATCGCTACGACGTCTGCAGTGTGACAGTGATATGTTTAGCACTGGGGTATCATGCCGCCCATATGTAGTATAATGTCCCGCCCAGTCACGTTATCCTGACACCAGGCCGACCAGTCCTAACACTAACCTCTTAATGCTGAGTGCCAAGCGAGGCAGTTGCTAGTACAATTTGCATAAGTCTTTAGTATGACTTAGCCAGGATTCGAACCTGCGACCTTCCTCATCCGAGGCGGACGCTCTAACCACAAGACCACCGGAGCGGTACTAAACAAAAATGCTGGATAACCTTTGATAAGAACTCACATCGTGCACTCTTATTTGAAGCAATTATGCGGACAGGCAGAACAACTAGAACAAAATTCCTGGGGCCACCAGCGGTCAGGGGCCCATCGCCATCACAATTTCTAATTCATAGGCGCCTAACGGAGAAGCTTAATTTGGACACAGTGGAAAGTTCAGTACTAAGAAACAAATGTATAAACTATACCTGAAAAATAATTATGATCCTAGTCCTGCTATAGGTGTCTATCTCTTTCCGCAAGCGACTATTGGTATTTCACTGTCTACATACTGCGAAGTAATCATGCACATGCCTACCATTAATATCAAGAACAACATATACCCGAAACACACAATTCAAAAATATATCCATAAATTTAGGCAGTACACAATCATAGCTGATAGCCACATATAGTCTGAAGTTAGAGAACTGATCATAAGCCAATTGACGAAACTATCTCCCGCCATCGTCATGTATATTAGGCCTATAACTTTTATTTGACCACGAAAGCAGTTGTTTTACCTGTAATTCGACAGTGTGGAACAGATTACGTGTTGGCTTCTTATCCAAACGTTTGACTCTTCCTGCTCGTATATATTTTTTAAATATTCCCTTGACGTTGAAACATGATTCAACACAATATATTGTGAAAAGTTGATGAAAAATGTCAAACTTGAATTAATTTAAAACGTATATTTTATATACATTGTAACAAATTCTATCCTGGTCCTTTTGGGCAAATCCTTGTAAGACCACCGATCATGCAAGTTAAAACCAGCTGTCGATTGAATTGGTAGACTGTCCGTTGAAATATCTATTGCTAGGCATAAGTTACCTTCAAGCAGAGCGGTCAGTTATTTAGTATTTGATTTTGTTCTACATCCAGATATTTTGAGATGATCTCTCATTCGACTAAGGTGAAGATTCGATCGTTATCTTTATTGCAGTCAGGAGCATCGAATATTCCAATATTCATATAAATACCATCAAAAAGCGGTGCATTAACGTCATAAAAAACTAGTCTACAAGGCAATAACAATATGGATTGCCGTGTGACGGGGAATCAACTTTTTAAATATAGCTTGAACTTTTTCTGGCCCGTGTGTGTGTGTGTGTGTGTGTGTGTGTGTGTGTGTGTGTGTGTGTGTGTGTGAAGAGTGCTGTGTAACGTTTCTCTGAATATCCCTTGTTTCATGCGTACAAAGGGTTGGGGTTTAACATGCTATTTATTTCGATCCTTCATAAACTATCAGCGAATAATATGTCTCTGTTCTAATGAACGAATGTTGTATTATTTTTCTGTGATAAGTTTTCACTACAAAATATAATGCAATGGAGTCAAACATGTCGATGCGCATTAAAAAGCGACAACATTCTGCATTAGTCCATCACGTCCAGTGTTTATAATAACCCCGCAAAAAATGTCATGTCCTTTCTTCTAAACCAGGTGAAAATCATCCATTTGTGGGATATTTCACGTACCAGTTCAGCCTTGTTTTGGTCTAAAATCATTGTGTTGAACGCTAGCTTACAAGCAGACAGTTTCAGCTTTCGTCAGTTACTTTCATTATTTTGCTTTATTTCTTATCATAAATTAAAAAATACGAACGTAAAAAGACAAATACTATACAGGACATATTTTTAAAAATTCTGTTTATCCTATCCATAAGAAGAGAGTTATTTATGATGTAAATAGAAAATAAAAAACGTTTTATTTCCGCAAGTAAATGACTGCAAAAGAAAAGAAACCAAGCTCAGTTTTCAAACTCTTCTCCATTATGCAAAACAATTAAATGACATTCATGAATTATAGTGCGGCGAAAATGAAAAGAAACGCATTTTAATAAAAAATGAATGCGAAATCTAGAAAAGAGATAGTATTAGAGAGATCAAACGGAGACCAACAGTGATGGATAATAGTGTATCAACTGACTCTAAAATTGAAATCTAATGAACACTGATGATACACATTACAGTCATAGTTAAAAACGAACAGCGATTCTTGCGTCAAATATTATTATTTATAACAATAAATACAAATAAATCATTCACAATTTTGTGTAGATTCTAATATGTCAATGTTGAAACATGATAAGTAAATGCTTTACAAAATTAGGTGGCTTTGAATCACATCAGCTATATTGGACAATACGGCATAAATATCCTCTCAAACGTATATCTGATCTGAAAATCAAAATAGCTTTTCCTCTTGGTGCACCTATTGGGATATTGTAATTCATTGTAATTCAAAATTGTGTTATTCATTGTTAAATGTAAGCGAACAAAGTAATGATGAATATCTGTTGATAACTGATATCGTGAAACATGATATAATTATGTGCTATATATATATATATATATATATATATATATATATATATATATATATATATATATATATATATATATATATATATATATATATATTCTAATTCAAAGACCCCTTCGTTGTCAATACCAGACATGCTCATCCATAGAACCCTTCTATGATCAACTACGAAAGCGACGTGCTCATCCACAGAACCTTCTTGGAAAAGTATGAAAGTGGCATGCTCATCCACAAACCCTTCTCAACCACGAAATTAATTTACAAAAGCTAAAGGTGTATGATTCGTAAGCTCGACGGTAGTTTTTACTTCATTTGTTAAACATCCTTTCTTGCGGTTTTTCCCTATCCTGCTCAAAGACACACTTTATTCCTGCACCATGGGATCAACCATTTTATTTTCATAGTTGGAATTTTGTTACAAAATAGAAATTACCTGCCTTCGAAAAAAAATTATATTAGAACTGATTTACAGGAAAAGGAACACTTAATATATCCATCATGATATTTCAAGAATACAAGTAGTTTCATTTTCCCTTTCGGACTCGAAAGAAGATCCGATACCTCCCCTCCAAACTAAGCTGGTCTGTCTCTAAGATGCATTTTGTAAGCTCAATTTACCTCGCTCATTTTTCGCTACAGGATTTACGGCTTTTAGAGTTGTTTAGTGAAGTGTAATCGTATCTTATTAACTCTGATAGCATGCACACATTGTGAAACACTATCATATTCAATTAATATGCGAGAAAGACTTAACTAGTTTGAACAATCCCGAAGCAAATTTTAATGTCATCCTATAACAAATACTGATGTAGTGTACAAAAACTGAAAAATTCAGATTGCTAAGAAAATCCGTCTGGAATAGACTTATTTATTACAACACGATGACACGTTTACTCATGACGTAATTACCGTCACCAAGTGACAGATTTTCATTATATCAACGATAGCTAGGAGATTCTATCTTTTAATGGGATCTGCTTTGTAATTATTGGACTTCGGTATTTTTTTTATGACTCTTAACAATATGTAAACGATGGGACAATAGCGAAATTTAGATATAGTCTACGTCATATCCGGTCGACAATTTGATTCCGCTTGTAAAGAATAATCTATATGAACGACAGTATATACAAGATATATTATCTTGTATCAAAATGTCTACACAACGCTGTTTCCTTAAATTTTCTGATCTTCTAGCGGATCATGGATACCAAATTGGGATTGAGATAGGTCAGGGGACATACGGCAAAGTTCGAACTGTGGAAAGGAAGTTTGATGGTAAAACTTTGGCAGTGAAAATCTTTGAGCGTAATAGAATCGAGAAGAAGTACCGAGATAAGTATCTTCCCCGAGAGGTGCTGATAGCCCCTTGCATGCGCCACAAAAATATTATTAGAACATATGAAGTGATTGAAAGTAATGAGTTTATTCTGCAGATAATGCAATATGCGGAGGAAGGGGATCTACTACTGTATATTAAAACGGTAGGTGATATACCTGAGGAGAAAGCAACAAAAATGTTTAATGGTCTAGCACAAGGCCTAAAGTATTTGCATGACAAAAATATCGCTCATCGGGACTTAAAGTGTGAAAACATTTTGATACTAAAGGGTGAAGTTTTAGCATTGAGTGATTTTGGATTCGCTCGGGCTTTCGACGCTGGGGCTGAACTGCTAAGCACAACATACTGTGGAAGCTATGCGTATGCATCACCAGAACTATTGCAAGCAACTCCATACAATGCAAAGCTTAACGATGTATGGGGTCTAGGCGTCATCTTGTACACTATGGTATGTGGACGGATGCCTTTTGACGACAGATGCATAAAAGAAATGGTTCAAAAGCAGTTACGAAGGGACCTAACGTTTCCACTCCGTCTACAAAATACGATAAGCGATTCATATATGTGCCTTGTCAGAGCAATGTTAGAACCGAATGCGAACAAAAGGTACACAGTTGACCAGGTCCTGTCTAGCAACTGGTTGAAGGAAATATCCTCCAAAAGATCAATAGACCAAATTCCATGAGAAGCAGATCGATTCCTCGTGCAGTTTTCCTATGTGTATTGCAGAGACGCAATATCAAATTTGCGTTAAAGTGAAGAATCACCAGTTAGTGTGACATCATCAATGCCTATGATACCTTTCTAACCAAAGTTATTAGCAAGACTTCTCGCATCATCAACATCATTTTGGACTTGTGGATGAAGGAAAAGATGCAAAAACTCTATTTCTACAGAACAGGAAGAGTACAGTTATTGCAAATGGAACATACAAAGAGATAAGTGGTAAAACCTCAACGGAAAGTGAGTTGTAAAAGATAGACGAGACACATATGATCTTATTTTTAGTACTAGAACTGCACAATTGACGAGTCATTGTTCATATATCATAATTTTCTCTGTAACATAATTGACCAGATTGCTTTCTATTGATAATTTAGCCAGCTTACAAAAGGAACTAAAAGACAATTAAGTGACTCGAAATGGATTTAGATACTTAACACATGTTATCTTAGTTGTTATTACACAAGTCTTTTATCCAACAAAGTTGTAGACGGTGGGAGAGAATTTACGCAGTAGTATTCAAAATTTCATCCATGAAGAAGTTTTCCATCTTCACTGAATGAATATTTTTATATGGTTTCATCTTTTTATGGGT